AATCTAAATTATACATTTATTTAAGCAATTACATAGCTTAAATAAATGTATAAAGTTGTAGTTAATCCTCCTGGTTAACAAAAAAGTACCACATCTAGCATCCATGCTACAGTTAGTTTAAATAATCAAATCAATATGTTTTAATGGTTATATCAACCAGTGACAATGAACTTTTCTTTGGAAAATTAATTTAATACACAAATTGGAAACAATTCTAATCATTTAAATAAATGTGTTCTGCTTGCTGATGTAAATCCACCATGAGTGAAGGGGGAGGGAACAGATCAGGAGACTTGTAGAAGGGGGACAAAGGAAATGAATGGGAGGATGGAGTGGAGGGAGAGAAATTGCGCACGAGGATGTTCTATTTCCTTTAGGTCAAAATTGTTGTGACTGTGCCTCTGATTTTACAATGAGACCCATTCTGAGGTCAGTGGGGTTCCATGTGAGCATGACTGACTGGATTCACATGCAGGGCCACTGCTTGTTATGAGATTTTTTGTGTTTCTCTTTTATGCTAATGATTGTTAACTGAGAAAAGGCATAAAATAAAATCCCGAAGCAGTAGTTAAACTGAAATAAATGAATAATATTATCCAGTATTTTTTATCAGCTCCCTAACTTGTCTAGGTGAGTACAGCACTAGCACCACAACACTACTGCTGCCTCTTTATTGCAAATAGATCTGCAGGAAAAACTGCAATGTCAACAAGAGCACTGTTTACACAGCAGCTGATGCACATACTTGTGCAGCAACAGGGCCACAACAGCAGGCTCAGTGATTCCAGCCAGTGCTATACACTGTGATACTAGTTAGAAATGTTTTATTCATGGTGTTAATGTGAATAGTCAATTGATTTTATATTTTGAATCTATTGTCAGCAGCAGTGCATTCTCTGGTGTGCAGTCACACAATTTGAAACTGGGGGCACCAGAGGCTCAGTAGAAAGCCATTCTGCTGGATGCCTTCTGAAGACATTTTAGGTAGTTTGAGGAGGGAGAAATTCAGAGATTAGGCAAACAAAACGATGACTTGCTGGAAATGTCATAAGTCCAAAGGATACAATTTAGTGCCTGTACTTCCAGATGTATACATATATACTGTCTATCTCAGGAAGCTGCATCTTACTGTGTGCTTAAAATCATTTAAAAACATCCCTAATATAATACCTCAGTCTAGTAGGTGGGTCTAGTAAACAGTTTGGATTTTAAACTAAGCATGAACTAAAAATCATTTTGAGGAATGGGATCCAATTTCCTTAGGATGACTATTTCATTTTCACTTTGCTGACAAGGGAGTTAACAAGTTTTTGTAAGAGGATGGTTAATTTGGGCCAGAGATTTATTCTGGAAGATGAATGGAAGCTTTTCCATATAAGGAGATATTGAAAAGATTGGGCCTGTTTAGTTTAAAGAGGAAATGAGTACATGGGGATATGATAGAGATATTTAAAAGAATGAATATTATAGAGAAGGTAAAAATCAGGTGCTTTGTTTACTCTCAAGAAAAAAGAAACCGTCAATGAAAGTGGAAGGCAGCAAACTTAAGGAATTACCTGCTCATATGAGGTCAAGTTCTATAGTCTGTCTATTTATCAGCACAGTATCTGAGCACCTCACAATCTTTAATATATTTATTCTCACAACACCTTTGTGATGTAGGGAAGTGCTATTATCTTCATTTTACAGAAGGGGAAAATGAACCACAAAGAGGCTAAGTGACCTGATCAAGGTCACATAGGAAGTCTGGGGTGGAGCATGGAATTGAACTCAGGTCTCCTCAGATCCTAACCTAGTACCCAACAACTGTTACACAACCTCCCTGGAGCAACAAACTTAAAACAGCACACAATTAACATGTGGAATTCATTATCAGAAGATATCCCTGTTAAACATAATCCCAACTATATATACAAAATGATGGGGTCTAAATTAGCTGTTACTGCTCAAGAAAGATCTTGGAGTCACTATGGATAGTTCTCTGAAAATATCTGCTCAGAGTGCAATGGTAGTCCAAAAAAAGCTAACACAATAATAGGGAACATTAGGAAAGGGACAGATAAGAGAAAAGTATCATAATGCCACGATATAAATCCATAGTACACCCACACCTTGAATACTGCATGCAACTCTGGTCGCCCTACCTCAAAAAAATATTGGAATTGGAAAGCAGGTTTAACACAAACATAAGGAAGCACTTCTTCACACAATGCACAATCAACCTGTGGAACTCGTTGCTAGTGGATGTTATGAAGGCCAAAAGAATAACTGAATTTAAAAAAGAATTTGGTAAATTCATTAATAGCTATTAGCCAAGATGGTCAGGGACACAAACCCATACTGTGGGTGCCCCTACACTTCTGACTACCAGAAATTGGGCCTGGACAATAGGGGATGGATTACTTGATAATTTCCCTGTTCTGTTCATTCCTGCTGAAGCATCTGGCACTGGACCACTTGTCTGACCCAGTAGAGTCATTCTTTATGTTATCTTTGAAGCCAAGAGGTTAGTAAGATTTAAAAAAAGTTTGTCCAATCTATGACTGAGAACATCTAGTTTTACATTAGACAGGACATTAGACGCAATTACATTAGGCAGACAGTTAATAAGGGATTTAAACCCTCATGTTCCAAGGTATAAACCAATCACTAAGTGACAGGGGCTAGGAAGAAACTTTTCCTATGGGCAGGTTAAACTTTAATTGTCCATTGTAGGATTTCTTTCAGCTTCCTCTGATGCTTCTAATACTAGACACTGTCAGGGACTGGACAAGATGGACCACTGGACTGATTGGGTATGGTAATTCTTATGATCATATAAATACAAACATTAAGGCTTCCAATATAATTGACATCTGACAGTTTACAAGCTGGCTCATGCCTAAATAATCTCTTTACACCACCTCCCTCCCAACCCTCACATTCCACCCAAGCGGCATGATGACTAATACACCCCCTTGTGTCCTACTACTCCTATTCTCCAGTCTTTTCCCATGCTGTCCCATTATCTGGAATTCTCTCCTGAGCCACTGGGCCATAGCTCCACCCTTTCCTCCCAATTCCTCCTCAAAACAGCAAGATTATTTTTCTAAACAATTCTAGGAGGCTTTTAAATCCTAGTCCATCTCCCACTTTCCAACACAATTTGGGATTTCCTTAAAAGAGGGGGGGGGGGGGAATTAAAACCATAGAACCAATAATGACATAACTCACTTCACTTCCTTTGCACTGCCTTTAGTAGGACCCAAACCCCCTTTACCTACATGTTGTCTATTTAGAAAGTAAACTGAGCCCAATATAAAAAACTGCCATCAAATTTTTCTATCATGGAAAGAAGTTACAGAACACACATCATTAATATTCTCTCTTTTGTTAGCAGCAAGTCTGACAGATAAATATGAACCACTCCCACTCCAAAGTGCAAAGCACAGATCTAAAAAACAGAAAATAATTTTCAAAAATCAAACCATTCTGAGAAGCGCTCTCATTCTAGATTAACTATGAAGCTGTAGCTCATTTTAGTTAACTTACTGTGTTTCAGTGAAATACTCTATTCATTTAGTGTCAGTTTGATGGCACTGAAAAACATATTTAACACAGCTGATACAGACCCTAGATTTCCAATCATCTCTATGGTTCAATGCAATTCAGTACTAATATACTCCCAACACCTACATGAGGTAGATCAATTTTACTATTCCCATTATTACTAAAGCAGAAGTGTATACAGACAAGTTTTCAGAAGTGTTTACTAATTTTTGGATACCCAGCTTTGGATAACTTGGCTTTCTGCAGTGCCGAGGCATCACAACTCCTGTGGGGACACTTAGGAGAAGAGTCTGGCAAAGTCACTTAAGCCAAAACAATTGATCAGTATTAGAGGGGAATTTAAGACCTGTGCTGTGTAAGTAAAACTGCAAGATTATTTTTCTAAACAATTGTTTCATTATTCTGGTATAAACTTCCAAATCATACAGGTACTTTTAAACATGTCAGTTGTATTTGCAGACCTTTTGGGAATGGGTGAAAAAAGCTAAAAATGACCCTGTGTTAACAAACAGAAACTGTACAACTTCAAAGTTACTTTAAAATTTTCCTGTACTATGGGGCTATTTTATATATAATTGGCATTATTAACTTTTTGTTCTGTGTTTCATGTCAATAAAAATTTTGGCAATGTCAGTTAATAAAGTGACTTGCAGATTTCTTTTGTGGTGTGTGGGGGTACAGAAATGTCAACATCCCCTTGTAGACTCAGGTACCAGTTGGTTGTCCTGAGGTTTATAAAATAGGTGACCACCGCCACAAGTCTCTGGGTGGCTGTGTCTACCACTTCCAATGTTAATCCGTGTGTTCTGGGGCTGGCAGTGGAGGGATGACAAGTCAGCAGGAGGGAGCTGGGTCCGTGACCACAATGGCACCTAGGAGCTCCCAACTCCAGCTTCACAAATGTGGGGGGCTGGCCCCCAGCTCCACTGGGGCCTCAGCTAGAAACCGCCTCCCACAAACAAATGCAGGGTCTGCCCAGGGATGAGCCCCCACAGCCGAAGAGAACGACACCTCACCAGCCCCACAACACAAGAGAGTCCCCCCCCCAGCCAGACACGGGGGGGCGGGGCCCCTTCTCCCCAGCCAGGCACAGAGGACCCTTCACCCCGCTCCCTACCCGCTTGCGAGCTCGCCCCTTGCCCAGCCGAACTCAGGCCCGCCCGAAGCCGGCACTCACGGAACTGAAGCCGCCCGCCGGCAACCGGCTCCCTCTGCGCCACTATCTCAGCGATCCCAGCTGCCCTGCGAATCACGTGACCACCTGTCAGCTGTTCCCGTCCCTCACGCGGAGGCTTTTGGGCGCTGAGCAGGGCGCGCCCTATGCACGCGCTGCGCCCCCCAGCCCGGAGCGAGGCTGCACCGCCGCGGCGCGGGCCCGGGCTGTCACGGGTGTGGTCGCCATCGGGGTGTGGCAGGCGAGCCCGGGCTGCGGCGTGCCTATGTTGTCCTCTGGCATGACATCACAATGCTTTGTGACATCACTGCATGACAACCGCAGGGCATGGTGTTGCCGCTGCAGTGACATCTCAGGACAATCGGATGTCGTCGTCACAACAGGAGACGACAGCGTTGTGTGGTGACATAGCCGTGTGGTACTGAAACGTGATTGCAGGTTCTGTTGAAAGGCTGGGAGGGATTGTTGGGGTTCACATGTTGAATCTGTGCAAGGATGCGATACACAACAAGTGTATCCTTGTTTGTGGTTATGTCTGATACTTCACACGTCCCCATTTGTGATTGTGAAACTTCCCATGAAATTTTCTGTGCTACGTAACTAAGCAGTTGTCAACTTCAGTGAGTTTCGTTCAAAGGAACAAATTCAGCCATCCTTTCCTCAGATCAGGGTAGTTGAACGCTGTGAACAGTCACAGAGATCATCCTGCTATGTCAAACATCAATGTCAGCACAACACAAGGGTATATCAGTATAGTGCCATACAACTAATCTTTATGGCACTACAACACAATGTGGTGATCGTGACATTATGGGGGATATTGTAATACTTATAGAAATCACCGGGATTTATTGGAATAATTCCAGGACCACAGGCAAGACTTTCCCCAATCAGATAACAATTTAAGACTAAGATAAAGATACTACACCTATGGATGGAGGGGCTGTCTACACTGATCATTACAATTTATCTCAGTCAACTTATGAATTCCGTTTAGGTTTGTGAATGCCATGTTGTATTTCAACTTCCATTTTGAATGTAATCTTTAATGTGGCGTTGTGCATTCATTCTGTAGCAGGAACTTTATAGCTAGTCGACAGACTATGTCTGGGAAGCTGTGTCAGACCAATCAAGGGCCTTCAACACTAAATGGTTCTACCCCTGTGGGATAATAGGTTTTCTACCATCAGGGCCATTGATTTTGAACAACTCTCTGCACAGAAGCTTTTTAATTTCCAGAAGCAAGATGGGTAGGCCAAGAAGGCCAGAAGGGTTGTATGGCCTACAGGAACTGGACCAACCCAAGACTCACAGAGGTAGTGAAGACAGAGAGGAATTGCATTCAGCAGTTGTTTTCCTAAGATCTGTAGCTCTCTTGTGGTTTTTAAGAGTAAAGTGTGTGTATTTAAAAAATTCCTATGCTAAGCCTGTGGTTCCTTGTTTTACTGCCATCTTGTCCATGAATTGGTTAAACTAGAAGCCCAAAGCTCACACAGCCAGGTATACTCCAGATGAACATGTCTAATCAAATGGTGTCTCAGAAGGGCAGGGGCACTGGTTCTGAGGTCTAGGTGGCAGGACTATGGGGTCCTACTGCCCAATACAGGTGTCAGACACAGGAGAGCACCTGAAAGGCCCAGAGCTAGGAACAGTGATCAGTCATTATCAAGACACAGGTAGCTAAGAAGCACGTGGGATTCAGCAGTTGGATCCTGTCACCACAGACAGGTATCCATCTGTCCATCCAGACTGTGGCAAAGATATTTTGCAGTATGCCTCCCAAAATTATCTCAGGACCCATGAACATTTCACAAATCCCATTTGTGAAGCTGTTAAAAATTAGACAATCTTGGAGCTACCAGGCTAGGTAGCAACCCTAACCCTAAAACTCTGTAAAGTGAAGTCAGTAGTTTGTATTTATAGTGAAACTGTTCAATGAAATATTGCTGATCTTGGGAGTTCACAAATTAATCTGTAGACTCCACAAAAATTATGAGATTAATAAATTTGTTAGTCTCTAAGGTGCCACAAGTACTCCTTTTCTTTTTGCGGATACAGACTAACACGGCTGCTACTCTGAAACCTGATATTTTTTAAAATGTCTCCGTTCTTTTTTAGTCTGTCTAGAAATGTGTTCAGCTCTTTTGGGGAGGGAAAATTCTACCTCAACGGTATACAAAATGCACACAGAGGAATGGGGGTTTTCAGTGCTTCTCTTTTCTGGCAGATGGAAGAGCCACACTCTCCCCAACACCCTTCCATGCTCACAAGGCACCTATGGGCACTGTCAAGACCCTCCTCAGCTTTCAGCCCAGCAATATTACCTGCCAACCCTAAGCACTGTTTTTTGCTTCTCCCTTGGATGCTGTTTCCTGATCTTCTCTCTATGCACTGGCCCTTGCGCTGATAACCATCGCCCTGTATCCTCCCTGAATGCCCCACTGTACTAATGAGACTTGTCCTCCCTTTCCCCTGCCATCTAGGGCCTTGACACCTTCCCCTATCTCCACTACCTCTCCACCTCATGGGCACTGGCCTCCTCCCTCTGCTCTTGTGGACACTATCACCCCGCCTTGTCATTTTTAAGTGGTTAGGTACTGGCCCACTTTTCTCCTTGGTGTCTGATCAGTGCTAAGAGGCTGCCTGTGGAGAGTTTCCAAGAAAGTCTGATAATGGAAGAACTAGGGCTGGCTAACTGAGAGTCTTCAACACTTTCCTGGAGCTCACCACCTTGTAAAAACAGTCCCTAAGTAATCTATTTTATCAATCATCATCATCATCACCACCACTTCCAGTTACACAACTTACCATGATCTTCAATTTTAATTATTTCAATCCATTTTTACCTGTGTTTTACTGAGAAAGTTGTTCCCCCCCCAACTCTCTCATGAGTTTTTAGTTATGTTTTTGATAGACCAATGTATACTTTTCTGAATGAACTGTACACTAAAATGTGTCAAAATGCACTGAAATGTTATTCATAGAATAAAATATGTCTTGGTTTCCCAAACTGGATTTCCAGGGGACTTTAGTGTACACTGACACATAAAGTAATTTTACACCACCATATTAATCATTCTGCTTCTTTAGTGTATAGGAATTGGGTAGTAACCCTTTAAGTAGTTTATGAGTCTGTTAATGGCCCTCACTGTCTTCTGTATTTCATAAGCCATCAGAACCCTGTCAGTGCAGCAGTGTGTATATGTAGTTAGGCCATGCATGTTATATAGATAATGAATAAACACAAAGTGAATGTTAAATGCTGGCTTTCTGAGATGGATGAGTTTACATTCACTTTGGACAAGTGTAAATGATTACACAAGGGGAAAGGCAGGAGAGAATTGGGCCTATTTTCTGTCATCTCAATTTCAAACATTCCTGTTGTCAATAATTCAGAGCAGTGAAAGTGAGATACCACAGGACCAGTCTAAAATTGAGTGACAACTGAGAGGCACATTGTAAGTGTGGACAAAGTAATTGCAGTGTTTAATTTGTAATGAAAGAGGTGCCGGGGTTTAATCAATTAGGTGCTGGGGCTCAAGCAAATTTTTTTTACTTTCATAACTGATGCAGCAAGTTCGGAGGTGCCGGGGCTATGAACTGCCAAGTCTAGAGGTGCCAGGGCTCAGCCCTAGCACAGATTAGGCACTGAGTAATTGAATCTATTCAATATGTTATAGGAGTCTCGCTGTCACAGAGGTAAATGCCTTAGATGTACCAGACTCAGATAGCTGATCAATTAGATTAGACTGGCTGGAAGTTCAACTGGATAACTCAGTGGTATGTAACAGAAGTCATCAGCTCCCATAACAACAGTGTCCAGAACTAGAGCTGGACAACCTTTTTCATCTGAAACTTTTTTTCACCGAAAAATGCTGATTCAGGTCAACCATACCATTTTGAGACTTTCTGGCAATTTTGGGGAACTGTTTCAGTAAATAAAGAAATAAAATCAGGAATATCAAAATGGTGCATTGTAACATTTTTAAGTGAAATATTTTGATTGTTCCAGCTAGATTCACAACAGGTTTTAGATGCCATTCACAAAACTGAGGAGGTTGTGCCTCCCCCCACAATACCCAATAGTCCAGTGGTTAGGTGCTTACCTTGGATGTGGGAAAATCAGGTGGGAATCCTCAGTCTAATCCAGGGACTTGAAAGTAAGTTTTCCCTCTTCCCTAGATGAGCATCTTAACCACCTGGCGATTAGCTATCTTGAGGTAGGTCTCTCTCAATTTTCCATGTAGTAGCTGTTCTAGTTTGTATGAATAATTAATTGAAGCAAGAACTGGAAACTGAGCGTGTCCCCCTCCATGTGAGTGCCCTAACCACCAGGCTGTATAGTAATTCTAACTCTCTCGCCCTTTGGCCCACTGACGCCTCAGTTTTGTGAATGGCACCTAAGGCGCCTTTTGAATCTGGCCCCTTGTTTCCAGATTTCCTGCTTTTATATAAAAAAAAAGGTTAAAAATTTGTGAAATCAAAATGAAACATTTTGTTCTGGGTCAAATGAAATGTTTCTGTCAATCTGAAATGGATTTTTTTTTTCAGAATTTTCAATTAATCAAAAATTCAGATTTTTTTCTATTTTTGGTACTGCCGATGAACCAAAACAATCAGCTATTTGCACAGCTCTGTTCCAAACAGCATTCTGCCAGAAAAATGCTGGCCTCTTTAAAAACCAGCTATTCTCTTGGCTCTCTTTACAGATAGAAGATCCCTATAGTGATATGCCACAGCAAGGCTGAGCATCGCTGAACTGTGTTTAGTTAAACCTCTTGATTACAGCAGCAGGGTGCTTCTTACTTAGTTCAGGAATGACAGAAATTAAAATGCTAATGGAGTATTATACTGTGCATCTGTATGGCAATTGGAAGTGAGGCTACTTTATTAAAAACTAACCAAGCATTTTCTAGTCAGAAAATTGGGCTGTAGCAGAAAAAGCCAAAGGAATCTCAAGACTTTGCACCCCTACTCGGTTGTGGAGGCCCATTGTGGAGATTATGTCTTCCCCTACTTACTGGCCAAATAATGGTTGACTCATAAAAACAATTGTATGTTTCTGAATGGAGAAAAACAGAAGAGGGAAGCAGCAGTCCAAGAATGCTCCATATTCTATACTTGGTTCCATCATTGTAAATTCAGATTAATTCCATCAAATTCAATAGAATTATTCCAGACTGACACCCCTGAAATGAGATCAGAATCTGGCCCTTTGTTAGTAAGGTATTGTAGATGATAGTAATAGTACTTTGCACATATAATACAGTATGTCTTTCATCCAAGGATCTCAAAGCCCTTTACAAACTGTAATTAAGCCTCACAACACTCTTTCCCATTGTATGGGCCCGGGAGGGGGGGGGGAGGGAGAACAGGGTATGTCTACACTTCAATTAGATACCTGTGGCTGGCCTGTGCCAGTTGACTTGGGCTTGCGGGGCTCGAGGCTGTTTAATTGCACTGTAAATGTTTCAGCTCAGGCTGCAGCCCAAGCTCCATCTCTCAGGGTCCTCGAGCCTGGCCTCCAGCCCAAGCCTGAATGTTTACATCCCATTAAACAGCCCCTTAGCCAGAGCCCCGTGAGTCCAAGTCAGCTGGCACAGGTCAGCTGCAGGTGTCTAACTGCAGTGTAGACATACTCACAGAGGCCCAGAGGTGAAATGACTTGCTTTAGGTGATGCAGCAAGCCAGTATGAGGAGTTTTAATTTCCCTTCTCCTGCATTATCTAATAGACCCTACTGAAAAAATATATTTTCAGTAATCTGAAGAGCTGACTTGAGGGGCAATTAGATTGAAGAAAAGTGCAACAAACAAGCTAAGGTGTTGAAGTTTATTTCTTTTTGTTCTAACAATGTGTCAGACTAATGTGTCAGAAAAGAGAACTTCCAGGGGAAAGTTCTTTACTTTTTACATGCCTGGAGGCGAATCCCACAATCTTTAGTCATGTGAGCAATCCTTAATTATGCATGTTGTCCTATTAACTTCAGTGGGACTACGCAGATGAGTGAAAGGTGCAGGATCAGATGCCTGGAAAGCAATGTCTCACACAATAGCTATAATTAAAAACTGCTTATTTCACTCTCTTAATTGTTGGGAGAAATGAGTCTGCATGCTGACTTCATTTCACCATAAACTGCCTTTGTTGAGAACATGAAATATCAGCACTTTGTCTTCTGGCTTATTCTAGCTGATTCCTGACCCCATCAGTCAGCCACTAGAAAATAACACTGAACAGTATGCAAAGTCCCCGTGACATAAGGTATTGTTATTTTATTTCTATTGTTTCTGACTGACTTAAAAAGCTTCAGCATTTGTGATAAGTTGAGTTAGGCATATTGGTTTCTGTTGTCTCTGCCAACAGCAATGCTCTTACTAACATTGATTCAACTGTGGGTGCGTGCATGCACGCACGCACACACAAACTCACTCTGACATTCACAACGTACTGGCTACGCAGTTTCAGAAATGGTGTTGGCAGGCTTAGTGTCTCCTGAAATACCATAAATAAGAACTAAGGGTAAACACTCTTGGGTGTTTTTTAGCAGTGTAGTGAAGAGGGAATGAGGGAATTTTTATTTTTCTTATTGTTTGTAGGAAGCAGGCTGGAGCCCTGAGTGTGAGAGTTCCGTTTAGGGTTTTTTGTTGAGGCAAAGCCCTTTTTGTGAGTACTAGATATTCTAAAACTCTCATTATTCAGAGAATAAGCCAACCACTAGCTGTGCAGGTGTCATAACTATAAAGGGAAGGATAACAGCCCTCCTGTGTACAATACTATAAAATCCCTCCTGGCCAGAGACTCCAAAATCCTTTTACCTGTAAAGGGTTAAGAAGCTCAAGTAACCTGGCT